ACTCGCCACAATTCTTTGAATGTTCCACAACAAATCCAATCGACATGGCTTTCAATTTCTCTCGCCTCGATGCTCAAGCCGCCGCCGAGAAAGCCGTCTCGGTGATCGGGTTAGGTTACGATCTCTGCACCGATGTTCGTCTCTCCGCTTGTAAAGCTTCACCAGACGGGTCCAGATTAGTCGAAATTGACCCGACCCGGATCCGAGACCTCGTCTTCCCCGGCGGGATCGTCGTCAACGACGTCTCCAGTTCGATTAAGTGCGATAAAGGCGAACGAACTCGTTTCCGCTCCGATATACTCTCTTTTAACCAGGTATGGCTTCTGGGTTTATCTCAAAGTCTCCATTTTTATGGGTTTATCTCAAAGTATCCATTTTTATGGGGAAAAAACAAAAACCCTAGTTTTGATTGGTTGGTTTGATTTCTTGCAGATGTCGGAGAAGTTTAATCAGGATATGTCTTTGTCTGGGAAGATACCATCAGGGATGTTTAATCATATGTTTGGTTTAAGAGGGATTTGGCAAAAAGATGCGAGTTCAGTGAAGAGTCTAGCTTATGATGGTTGGTTTATTAGCTTGTACAGTGTAGAGCTAGTTAGGTCTCAAATAGCTTTACGTGATGAAGTGAAACGTGAAGTACCTTCTTCTTGGGACTCTGCTGCACTTGCGGGGTATGTTGATGATGATGAATTGAAGAAATTAAAGGTTTTTAAAACTGCAAATTTTTGGATTGAGATTGATTTTTTGTGTTTATAGGTTTATTGAGAAATATGGTACTCATATAGTTGTTGGAGTAACTATGGGAGGTAAAGATGTTATTCATATGAAGCAGTTACGTAATTCGAATCACGAGGCTGATGAAGTTCAGAAAATTTTGAAGCAATTGGGTGACCAAAGATTTCCAGTTGATCCAGTTGAAAGTGTATCTCCTGCTGCTGATTATTCCGGAAAGACCAAGGTAAGGTGTCTTTAGAAGTTGTCGGTCTAGCGATCATTAAATCACAATGTAACCTGGAATGTTTGATGGTTCTGCAGGAGGAGAATCCTCTCCAATGGGGAGTTCATGGACCGCTGCTTGGTACATCGACGAAGCCTGCTGTTGTCATGCGCTCCAAGAACGAGGTCTGCTTCTTTTCGCCACTAATGCAGTCAAATCACATGGGTTTCTTTTTAGATTACAACTCGGAAATTAAAGAATTGTGTACTTTGCATCTCCAGGATATGGTGGGTATTTGTGTCAGACGAGGAGGTGTTGATATGGGGCAGAGTCATGATCGATGGCTCTCAACAATTTCACAATCACCCAACGCTATATCGATGTGCTTTGTTCCTATAACTTCACTCTTGAGCGGTCTCCCAGGAACAGGATTTCTTAGTCATGCAGTGAACTTATACCTCCGATGTAAGCATTTCGTTTATGTGCTTTTGTATCTTAGTTTACTCAACGGTTCTTTCAGTTAACAAGGTTGTATATAATGTTGTAGATAAGCCGCCAATAGAGGAGTTGCATCAATTTCTTGAGTTTCAACTTCCACGCCAATGGGCTCCTGTGTACGGAGATCTCCCTCTTGGACTACGACGCAGAAAACAATGTTCTCCATCCCTTCAGTTCTCTTTGATGGGTCCAAAACTATACGTCAACACATCAAAGGTACACATGTTTTTCACAATTGCTGTAGATAAATATTTGATCAAGTTAAAACCTTCGATCCTCAAAATCTGTTAATAGGTTGATTCGGGTGAGCGACCAGTAACCGGATTACGCTTATTCCTAGAGGGGAAGAAAGGGGATCATCTTGCAATCCATTTGCAGCATCTCTCTACATGTCCTCCAAGTCTCCATCTCTCACACGATGACACGTATGAACAGATCGACGAACCATCCGAAAAAGGATATTATGAAGCTGTAAAATGGGGAATCTTCTCACACGTCTGCACCTTCCCGGTTCAGTACAACGGAGCACGGTCTGATGAGGCGGCCTCTATTGTAACCAAAGCCTGGTTAGAAGTCAAAGGAATCGGGATGAGGAAAGTTCTCTTCTTGAGGCTCGGTTTCTCACTCGTTGCATCAGCTGTTACACGTAGATCAGGGTGGGATAATCTCTCAACAATCTCGCGTAAATCAGGAGTTTTCTCTATGATTAGTACAAGACTAAGCACGGGTTTAAGTCCAAACCCCACTACAACGAAACCACAGTCTCAGATTGAGATAAACTCAGCGGTTTATCCTCGAGGGCCATCACCGCCTGTAAAACCAAAGCTCCTGAGTCTTGTGGACACGAAGGAGGTGATGAGAGGTCCAGAGGAACCACCTGGATATTGGGTTGTGACTGGGGCTAAGCTTTGTGTAGAGGCAGGCAAGATCTCAATCAAAGCTAAATACTCTCTGCTCACTGTTGTGTCAGAAGACTCACTAGTCTGAGAGATTCGTTCAGTTCCAAAGGTGTCCAATTGGGAACACAAGTTGTAGTGTGGGTTGGATTTTTGCAGGTTTCAGTGTGTGATTAACTTTGAGGTAAAACTCATCAGATAATTTGGGGTGTGAAAAAT